CCAGGATTAACTATCAAAAGGCAATTAATTCAGCACTACATGCTGAATCAAAGCCAAAACTTAATTTTTTTTTTTTAGAGTATTTAAAAGTCAGCTCAATTTGATGTGAACTTCTTACAAGAACTTTACGTAATGCCAACCCTCTCTCCTTACCCAAGATACGCACAAAACGGTTAAAAAATAGTCCAATATCCTATTTGATCAATTTGTGGAACAAGGATAATTCAGTAGACTAGTGCTTTCATTTTTAGTTAGTTTATGAGATACTTTTAATTGGATTAATGGTTACTTTAAAACGTTAATTTTTATTGAGTTTTGGCTTTGTGGAATTGTGGATTTTTATTTTATTTTTGGTATTTGCATTTCTTTGATGGTTTATCGTTATCATCAAGAGGTCCATGGTTCTATCTTTGAATGTGTTCTGATTTTGTACAATTGTCTCAATTCAGCCTTTGGCTGCCATATACAATTTTTTATATTTTTCTGAATAAATATACCTTGAATAATAATAAATTACCGATTCAATAAAATCATACCCCGGGCTTTTGCTCGAGGAAAGGCTTGTATGTAAAATTAGGGTCTACTTCGTGAATACTTACCTGGATAAACCAACTAATTGCCTATTCTTTCTCCCTTGAGAAACACCCCTCGAAAATAATAGAACAGTCAACTCCTGGCGCCAAGCACAAGCGGCCCCACAACCATGCAACTTCCTCATTCTTTTTCGATCGTTCGAAAGAATTTTATTATCTTAGATTTTTATCGTTTGCTGTGGATATTCTGTACTGTCGCCATGGCCGGCAAGTCGGAATGTCCTCAGTGTCGGGGCTCTCGGCCTAGTCCGAAGGTCAATAACCATAAGGTCTGCCCTGCTTGCAGGGGGTGTTCCGCGGATTCTCCTTGCGTAAAATAGGGGATGGGCTTATACTCGAGGTGGGCCAAGGAACCATACAGACATTTTTCTGAGTTTAATAATACTGTGCTGTAGTTTACATTTTAACAACAAACATTTCAATTCTGATATACAACTATTATTTCAAAAAAGAAATATTTGGCTTAAATATACTGTATAACTAGCATTTTGTTAGAATTATAGTATTAGTTTTTAAAAAATATGAAAAAAGTTTACTCTTAAATTACCCACACCACCACAAAACAAGGTTAAAATATTTATAAAAGTACATTAGCTGCAGTTGAGGCACTGTATTGATGAATGTTAAGAGGATCTTATGGTCACGTAATATTGAGTCAACCAGAACCATCCACTGATTGTACAACCTACACATTCTGTGTAATCACCACAAATTATCCTGGTTTATGTTCAAATCACTTTGTTAAATTCCAATTAAATTCAAAGACTTTAAAACAAAAATTGAATGTGAAGCCTAAAGTCTATAAATTTTATAGTCAACAAATTAGAACTCTTTTGGGCAATAAATCTTTTTTGGCTCTGCACACATAGTAATAAATTATACAATGATATTTCTATAATACAGTATACATTTTTAACTTTAATGTTCTTTAAAACTATAACTGTAGAGTAGGTGTTTGCAGTGTTTAGTACCACTTAATTTCTCCATGCACGTATGCAAGTTCATGTTATAAAACCTAATTACTCTGTGCCTTGACACAACAATATTTAATGGGAATGTAGTTTAGAAAAGAGTATTTGTACTTGAAGAGATAGTGAAGTACATATTTGATGATTATCAAAGGCTATAGGCCTACTATACTGCAGATCAGGGATTCTCAACTATATCGCAATAGGTGCCAAAATAGTTTCATTGAATAAATGTGAAGGGCCAGGGCAAGAGGGTTGAGCACTGCATGCGCGAGCTGGGTGAGGGTTTGGTGGGGTGTCCCCCTTCGCAAATTTTTTGAAAATAATAAGCCGATAGACAGGGCTGGGCTAGACAGGGCATCTTGACTTAAGAAAGTTACCCTTGTGTTTGGTAATGGAAAAGTCAAAATGTTATCACACAAACTGGGTCACCAGTAATACAGTATTCCTTTGCTGTTTGCTACAATACTGTAGCTCTTCCGATTTGATTGATTAAATCACTACAATTTTTGGGGGCAACATATAGGCCTAGTAGGCAAAACAGAATGCAAAATTATTAAAGGTTAGAAATCAAGCTTAACTGACAATATTATTTCCCGCTTGTTCTCGCGGGTCACATAACAGGCATTCGCGGGCAGGAGATGCCCTGCGAACTGCCAGTTGAGAACCCCTGATGTACTGTAGATGATATCCACACATCATTAGTAAGACCACACTTTGGTTTTAAGATGTTTACCGGTTGTGTTCAAAAATTACTGTACATGATTTCCATAGCCTATAGTCACTTTAGACAAACATGCACCCTTTTACACCAAACATTGCAGTAATACTGCCATAAAAAGCCTATCTGTATCACATATTGCAGTAATATTGCTGTAATATACAGTAAAGATTTTCTGTATTAATGGATTACACACACCAGCAAAGCCATTGGTAGTTGTTTGGATAAAAAAATACAAAGAGGCCTGTCACAATTATGCTATCCTAGATTTATAATAAGTGTAGGCATACAGTACTGCACCTTATGTACACACTACAGTACAACAATCTTTGAGGATTTCAGTTTGCTGAGTTTCAGAGCAGTACAGTATGAGCATTTAATGTGATTATTAGACCACAAAAATGCCATGTTTAAATGTAGGCCTACTGTATGATGATAGCCTTATGGAGACTTAAAAATAATTTTGCTTTCTTCAGGAACAGATTTCAAATCTTACCTTTATCAATTCAATCATTTCTAATGTGGAAGTTTGTCAATTGCTGGGTTTAAGTACGATATAATCAATGCAGCTTTAACGCATCAAATGTCTCACTATAAAGCTTTTCAAATTAATTTCTGCCTGACTATCAATAATTCAACATCTCTAGTTTCGGGAGCTTACATAATTCTGAATGTAATGCCTGTCTCTTATCTAATACCCAGGATTAACTATCAAAAGGAAATTAATTCAGCACTACATGCTGAATCAATTTTTCATATTTTTTGGAAAAAATATGAAAAAAGTTTACTCTTAAATTACCCAAACCACCACAAAACAAGGTGAAAATATTTATTAAAGTACATTAGCTGCAGTTGAGGCACTGTATTGATGGATGTTAAGAGGATCTCTGGTCACGTAATATTGAGTCAACCAGAACCATCCACTTATATTACAACCTACACATTCTGTGTAATTTCACACCACAAATTATCCTGGTTTATGTTCAAATCCTTTTGTTAAATTTCATTTAAATTCAAAAATGATTTTCAAACAAAATTTGAATGTGAAGCCTAGGTAAAGTCTACAAATTTTATAGTCAACAAATTAGAACTCTTTTGGGCAATAAATCTTTTTTGGATCTGCACACATAGTAATAAATTATACAATGATATTTCTAAATACATGTATACATTTTTAACTTTAATGTTCTTTAAAACTATAACTGTAAAGTAGGTGTTTGCAGTGTTTAGTACCACTTAATTTCTCCATGCACGTATGCAAGTTCATGTTATAAAACCTAATTACTCTGTGAATTGACACAACAATATTTAATGGGAATGTAGTTTAGAAAAGAGTATTTGTACTTGAAGAGATAGTGAAGTACATAATTTGATGATTATCAAAGACTATAGGCCTACTATACTGCAGATCAGGGGTTCTCAACAATATCGCAATAGGTGCCAAAATAGTTTCATTGAATAAATGTGAAGGGCCAGGGCAAAAGGGTTGAGCACTGCATGCGCAAGCTCGGCGAGGGTTTGGGAGGGGTATTTTTTGAAAATAATAAGCCGATAGACAGGGCTGGGCTAGACAGGGCATCTTGACCTAAGAAAGTTACCCTTGTGTTTGGTAATGGAAAAGTCAAAATGTTATCACACAAACTGGGTCACCGGTAATACAGTATTCCTTTGCTGTTTGCTACAATAGCTCTTCCGATTTGATTGATTAAATCACTACAATTTTTGGGGGCAATATATAGGCCTAGTAGGCAAAACAGAATGCAAAATTATTAAAGGTTAGAAATCAAGCCTATAACTGACAATATTATTTCCCGCTTGTTCTCGCGGGTCACATAACAGGCATTCGCAGGCAGGAGATGCCCTGCGAACTGCCAGTTGAGAACCCCTGCTGTAGATGACATCCACATGTAAGACCACACTTTTGTTTTAATATGTTTACCGGTTGTGTTCAAAAAGTACTGTACATGATTTCCATAGCCTATAGTCACTTTAGACAAACATGATGCACGCTTTTACACCAAACATTGTGGTAATACTGCCATAAAAAGCCTATCTGTATCACATATTGCAGTAATATTGCTGTAATATACAGTAAAGATTTTCTGTATTAATGGATTACACACACCAGCAAAGCCATTGGTAGTTGTTTGGATAAAAAAATACAAAGAGGCCTGTCACAATTATGCTAGTCCTAGATTTATAATAAAGGTAGGCGTACTGCACCTAATGTACACACTACAGAAACAACAATCTTTGAGGATTTCAGTTTGCTGAGTTTCAGAGCAATACCGTATGAGCATTTAATGTGATTATTAGACCACAAAAATGCCAGGTTTAAATGTAGGCCTACTGTATGATGATAGCCTTATGGAGACTTAAAAATAATTTTGCTTTCTTCAGGAACAGATTTCAAATCTTACCTCTATCAATTCAATCATTTCTAATGTGGAAGTTTGTCGATTGCTGGGTTTAAGTACGATATAATCAATGCAGCTTTAACGCATCAAATGTCTCACTATAAAGCTTTTCAAATTAATTTCTGCCTGACTATCAATAATTCAACATCTCTAGTTTCGGGAGCTTACATAATTCTGAATGTAATGCTTAAGGGGGATGAAGTCATTTAAGTACTCAATCACTGACTCATGAATATGATGGCTACAGTATAAACACAGGAAAACAATACAAAATTTGTTCAATAAAAAAATAGCAGCCTACCTCCATTGGTACATCAGTGTTTTCGATATCCTTTCCCATTGGCTCCGTGTCTACGTCCTGTTCCTTTGCTGGCTCATCGGCGTCTTTCTTTGTGTCATCTTCTAGTGGGTGATTTAGTACTTTACTCTCAAGGTTTGCATCAGAGGGTGAATCAACGATTACGTCCTCTACACCTTCCTCTACACCATCCATCACTTCCTTTGCATGTTTTTCTTCTGAGTTGTCATCTTTAACCGAATCAACTTCAACAGTGGATGACTCTTCAGTCTTTTTTTCATCTTTTAATTCTTCATTTGATTCCGTATTATCATCCTCTGGGTCTAATAGTTCCCAATCATCTTCTGTATCCGTCTTGCTTTCGTTACTTTTTTCCTCTTTTTCATCAATTTGTTCATCCTCTGTTTTTGTTTCTTCTTTGTTCGCACTTTCTCCAGTTTTCTCGATCTCCGAATCACTCATGACTGGTCTCTACAGTAATTCACTATTTTTACAATGTAACACTTTCTTCAACCTGTTGCACTAATTAATTCCAAAAAGGTACAGCTTCAAACCAACATCCGGTACAATGTACATTTAAGATCTTGTAAGCCCAAGTCCTTTGTTCTAAGTGAAAAAGACAAAAAATATCATGGACTTGATGAATGTTTGACAATGTTCTAATTACCATAAATTAAATCAATTATTTATGGCTACACACTTTGAAATTATGTTGAGTATTACTCATCAATATTTATTTACTCATAATTCAATCTAATTATAGTGTGATGTTATTAATACAAGTTGAGTTGAATAGTTTAATAAATTGTTAAGATGTTTGCCTTTAAATCCCAGGGTCCTGGGTTCAAATCCAGTGACAGCAGAATTTAAACACAGGACTCTGGGGTAAAAGAACAGCAAAGGTGGTTTAATCAGTCCACAGAAATCAGGATGAATGTGATGCTTTACAATTATGAATCTGGGTTTTTTTTGTTTTTTTGTTTTTTTTTTGTCCCATAAATAAAATACCATTGAATTTTTTACATGATCCTGGACATGCAAAACTATTTACTAATGAGCAGAGCTTTACCTCAATTACAAAAATAGTTTAAAAATAAAAGGATAAAAATAGGCCCTGTTATGGATTTTACAGTACAGCACAGTTGGATTTAAATATTTTTGCCAGGGATAACCACAACCAACCAACAATATTGATTTCTCATCTATGATAATATACAGTACAGATGAATTATGTGTAGGTGTGGTCCCCACAATTGATCTAGATAATAATCAATTGACTGTGGCCTGCATGGTATGTACATGCTGGATCTGTCCTGTATAATAAATATTATCTCTATCCTTTATAAAGTATATTGACAAAATGATGGCATGTAAACACAATATCTAGCTGGTCACCATACAGTAGTATATAAGATACATTAGTAGAAAAATGGTAACCTGCACGGGTCATCCTCATTAAATAAGGTTCAAATAATTAATTAAATAAATAAAACATTAATTAGTATGCCTACCAATGATATTATAATTCCTGCAGTATACAGTAAGACAACCTTGGGTACTGTATAATATAAGTCTATCCCCTACTTCATGTCCAACTCCCGTACCAGTATTTTCTCCGTAAAAGTATTAAAGATTGATTTTAAATTGGGTGTAGTGTTGAGAATTAGATTGTTTTGTTTATGAGAATGGGATTCACCGGGCACTGGGCCATGCCTAAAAATCGGCCCAATAATGTGTTTGAGAAGGGGGAGGGGTTAGGATTATATCATTAACATAGTACATTAATTCTTCTTATGCTTTCATTTTAGTTAGATACATGGCACTGCACTGATGTTGCCGTGGTCTCTAGGGGCCAGGCCTAAATTTCCGATTTCCAATTAGAATGAGGACAAATAATGAAAAAAGTAATTAGCATTGCAGTACCAGCTGCTACTTGGGGATTGAATTCAACACTAGTCACTAGGTGCAAGTTCAGTGGTTTAGTGGTTATGACACCAGGCTATTTATCTAGAGGTTGTGGGTTCGATTCCTACCCAAATCACTTGCAAATTTTTTTCGTAAGTATTTAAGAACGTACTGAGTACTCAAAGATAAATTGTCAGGTACAGTAGGGCAAAAACATCACTCCTTAAAAAAGAAAAGATTAAACAGTTATAAGTCATAAATTTGGCGGCGTATCAGACATATGTCCACTGCTTTGATGCCAAGATTGACCAGATTTATTCCGGAAGTGTAGTCCTGCCCTATGGACACCTGCTTTTAAAATTTATATGTTCATCTTCAATAATTTTCAGCCTACCTCATAGTGATCAGACTTGTCTAGATTGTGAATCATTCACTTGCTATCTTAAGCATGCATCGTTGGCTTACCTGTATCTACTGTAGGGAATGCGCGAAGGGGCACACCGACAAAAAAAAATTTTAGGAGGTAGGGGCCCCTTCACCTAAAAATTAATCCCCCACTACACATTCGCACCCTCATCAGCCCCCCTCCCACTACAAGACTCCTACATACGACACTGGCATGCACATAATACTACTTATACAGCACCATCATATTATTCAAAGAAAGGTTATTCTACAGACTTTTATCATAACATTGCCTTTAAGTGCCTTAAATTAAATTGCTAAAAAAACAACCCAACTAAAAAAATCAAACCAGCCCCATCCCCCTTTTACATCTTCAAAGTTTAAAAAAAACATGCCTGAAAGATATAAGCATTCCGTATTTAACGTCATGAGTGAAATTAACTAATTAAACAAACAGCATACAGTATCAATAACAAGCAATTACCAAAGACTGACCAGCAGAGAAGCAGGGGTAGCATTTTTGGAGCCAATAATATGGTGCTAACTGATTATGACAATGCATCAAGTTTCCTCTTTAACTTCCTCTATAACATCCTGCCTGGAGACCTACTATACAGTGCATGCACAAGGGGTATTACATCAATGATGCAAAATTAAGACATCTCGTTTTATATTACATGGACAGATTGAATAAATTGCTTAATTTATTCAACTGTTTAAAAACGATCTTCCTGACCAGATAGAGACTAGCTACGACATGCTGCTACTGAGAACTATCCAGCTACGTCATGTTTGAGTTTATTGACGTTGAGCTTTCGTATACTTCTATGACAGGTTTCTAAATATCTGATCTTGGATTTAAAAAAAAATTAAAGTGGCAAATCATTAGAAAATTATGCAACCTTTCAACTGTTTTGAATGCAAGCCAAAAATAATAAAATGTACTAGTCACTTTAATTTCCTTTTGTATGGTATTGCTCTATCTTTTATCTTGGAATACTTCAAACCAAGCCTATATACATGAAAGTATAAATTACTGTATGTCCAAATGCAACAATATATTAATTACTGTTAATTACTATAATTAGCAATATTGTAATGGTATCCAAAAGATGAATGACACTGACAAACTATAGTGTACCGGTAATAATAATATAGCAAAACTGATCATGGCATACTTATTTGATGCCAACCTTTGATGGCTATTAAATCCTTTACGGTTATTGGCTTTTCTGGAACACTAACTCTGAACACCTCATTTTAAGGGCTTTTGTTGAACATACAAAAAACTTATACCATTACAATGTGTACTTTAAAAATGCCATGTTGATTCAGATTTGTAACCACCACGGGACTATGATTGTACATTATAACCAACATTAATTACCACAACAGGACTACACAGTAGGCCTACAACCATGATACCATAATGCCACCCTAATGAAACTACCAGTACAAGCGTGACCACTACCAATTTCCATTTACAACCTGTTTACCCCTCTACCATGGTGATATAATATAACAACCACGATGTTACAATGTACTACCACTGGTACCACCAACACTACGGTACTACCGTAGACCTGCAATTGCCACTACAGTGACATACTGTACTACTACTTAGAGCAAAACTTTCCACTGTAATACTGTATTACTACTATTTTTTTTGTTCTCCAACTGCTTAATGCCAAGCGCCTGGAGACTTTGTTTATTTGCGCTACACACATTAGCCTATTAATAGCGTACAATTTGCATCATTACCTTCATGAATAGAAACTAGCAGAGAATCCTACATTTAAAGTATCCAGTGTAGAATTAATTCAGCATTGAAAAGCTGAACAGCTGCCCGAGTATGTACATCCTATAACAATGTCTACAAACTACACACTCTCCCTATAGAACAATACAACGTAATACTTCACCAATAAACAGGAACAATGAGATCATACTTATAAGGTTCCCAAAAGTACACAGGCAAAATTTACTCTACTGCTGTTCGTGCGGCCACAAAGCCTTAAAAGGACTTTGCAATAGGCTCTGGGAAACCTTGGACAAACCTCTATTCTCAGGAACAGTCTGATATCATTTTGATAATGTGTGTTTACATACAGCCTTCACTATTCATTCCCACATAACACCAAAAGGTACAGTACTGTATTACTGAATCTACTGATAACTGCACAATACAATTATACCTAAAATTGCATAAAGCTTAACTCTGTTGACTGCTTGTGACAAATTGCTGATATCTCATATATAATTTTCAGTGTACCATATATATTCTTGCGTATAAGACGTCGTTTTAAAAGTTTTTTATTTTACTATTTTTGTATGTCCGGTGTATAAGACGACCCGGCTCACCGTCGGAATACCTAGTTTTTGCTGCTCTTATGGTGTTGATTCCATCCTAGCTGGCTAAAATGGAGCCAAATTTACTGTAGGGCTAATCTTCCAAATAATACCATTTTATGGGCTATTCAATGTTCATCAAAATCTTATTCCCAAATTTAAAATTGCATTCATTCGTCAGTTAGTAGGTTCATTTCAGTAGTGAATTTGCATGTTACGGGCGATCTGCACAAAAGATCATTTTTTTAAAATGTTGTGTGTTCCACATGTAAAAAAGACAACCCCCTGTTTTTTTCATTGTAATTTGCTAATGTAAAGATGTTAAACACCAAACAAATCATAAAAATATTTTTTGAAATTAACTTACCCATTTTGAAGTAACATAAAAGTTATCAACTTGAACATAGAAATTAGTGTATTAAAGAATGTCTACCCATCAGTTTACAGCAAAACATGATAGAAACACTTCCAGTCACTTTAAGTGTTTTATTATTTTTATTATACTTTTCTGGTTTAAAAATCATAGTACACATTTTTTAAGTTCAATAATTTCTATGCACAAGTTAATACTTTGTATGTTATTGCAAAATGAGTTGATTTCAAGATTATTTTTTATGATTTTTTTACATTTAATAGCAAGGGACCATCTTTAAGCCTTACATGAGAATATACATGTACACTATACGGTAATTTCCTAGTTATGCACCAAGTTATATTCAAGCTGAAACAAAAATAAAATCAACACTTCATTATCATTATAAAATAAAAGGCTAGAAAATCAGAATCTAGAATAAAAAACAATTCTAATATTATGAGAGCCAGAGTATACAACTACAAATATCCATTGATCAGAAAAGAACTCTCATGTTTAATATTTAGAGAACATTTTAATTTTATTTCTTAAAACATGTTATTGTAAAGGTGTTCAATTACTGGATACAGGTTTAATCTGTAATTAAGAATTAAGTATCATAGGGGAGTTAGTACAGTATGTCCAGTCATATTTTGACTGCAGATTCTAAAGGTTAAGCATACAAGCATTTTCAAGTTTTTTCCCCTCATACTTTCAACTGTTTATGTATCTATCACAAGCAGCTAGGAAGAGTCTGACATCATTTTGATAAAATGTGTGTTTACATACCGCCTTCACTGTTGATTCTAATGAAAGGTAGTACAGTATTATTGAATGAACCTGATAAACTAAAGGGTGCAAAATCAATGTAACCTGATAAAATAAGGGTGCAAAATACAAGTAAATACATGTTTACACACATCAACACAACTGTCCTCTCTGGCGGAGTGTTACAGGGATTGGATGCGAAAAAAATTAAAGAATGCTTTTGTTAAATATTATTTTTACATTCATCAAGCAGTGGGCAGGAGCTGCTGGTGATGAACATTTTATGGAGCTGAACAGAGCTATTTACAGTATTAGACCAAATATAATTTTAAGAAAAATAGCTACAGTACAATCATAAATTATCATGAGTAAACAATGATTTGTCTATCCCTACTGATAGGGTTAGAGTAAGCCCCACCAATCACTCACTTTGTAAAGGAAGGGTCAAGTGACCCCTTCTGGTTATTTAAATGGTACTCAAAATTATTTATGTTTTTTTCAGTTATTGTTTTGGTGACAGCAAAATATGATCTCCATATAGAATTACTTTATGACAATGGCAGACTGTTGTAAGTCTATTTACCATGACGATCCTACATCACAGGTACTACTATCCGGATCATTGCTATACAAATACAGTATAACCCCTTCCCCCCCCCCTCTCCTGTATGACATCCCTATTAAAGGAACATACTTACAGAAAGGGAGCATATTATTAAGGGGACATCCCTATTTAGGAAACACTATTTTGTGGTCCCAAAGGTATCCCCTTATAGGGGTTCTACTGTACATACTATACATCATGCAAGTCATATTGTGTAGCCCTTTCAAAAATGAAACCTCGATAAATTAATATGTGTACTATATATGCCTATAGACACATTAAAGAGAATTTCAAGCAAATATTAGTGGTTTTGTGTTTTAATAATACGCTTATTATGCCTACTTATTTTCACTTCCAAACTTGTATAAAAGGATACGAAAACAGGTGAAATATATTAATAATAATATAGATCCAAAGGAGGCATACTCATTAAGGGGTTATCCCTATTTAGGGGACACTATTATGGTCCCAATGTGAGTCACATTGTGTAGCCCTTCAAAAATGAAACCTTGATGAATAAATACCTGTACTATAATAAGGCCTATAGACACATTAAAGAGAATTTCAAGGAAGCATTATTGGTTTTGTGTTTCATTAATATGCCTATTATGCCTACACTGTAGAATTATTTCCACTTTCAAATCAATAAAAGGCTATACAAAAGCTTACAGTATATTAAAAAGCTAAAATATATTACACTTTTTCTTATTTTTTATAAGAACCAGTAAAATTTTGCCCAGGCTCAGTGTTCTTATTTTCTGGCTGATTTCAGGCTCAAAATGTTCTTATTTTGCTCATATTTTTACACATTTTTCAAACATAGAAAATTATTATTGTACAGCAGTAGTATTATTGTACTACTGCATTATCGAGGGTATTACAGGTACATAGTCACACCTACTGCACATAAGGTACACATAAGATTTGTCGGTTTTTTCTCTTTTAAAAAACATAAACACCTCATTTGAGATTTTGCCTCAGCCTCAATTTGTTTTTATTTTGTTCTTAAATTTTAAGCAATTTCAGCTTTAATGTTCTTATAAAAATGTGTTCTTATAAAAAACAAAAGTGTAATAATGATAATATAGCTTAAAAAACAAGTTTAAATGCAGATCAATCACAAATCACCAGAACTGATTTGTTATATTTTATTGTAAACATAGAAATTATTTTTAATATTCACATTTTTAAACTTAGAAATTTTCAATTTCATTTCGATATTGCTCTCTTTTGACAACGTCTATTTAGCAACTCCAGCCATGTGAAAAGCAATTAATCAAATAGATATGAATCATGAATTTGAAGTACAATTCTTTTCCATTCAACTTGTTTCGTGCTTATAACCATTGTCGGTGTAGAAAGACTACCAGACTTGTCGCATGACTTTGAACTGAATATACAGTGGTTAATATGTCACAGATAAAGTGATTTTTTTTTTTTAAAGATAAGTATTAAAGTATTTTGTTCTTAAATAAACATCTATAGTCAAGTTCATTTTGTTAATAATAATACTCCTAATATTATGGAAATGAATGTTTTTATTTCATATTAATTTCTTTATATTTAATGTTTTGTTATCTTTATATATAATTTATTATTCGAATGGCCTATTAATTACAATTTAGGTATATTGTCATGGAGTAAAAAGTAAAGTTCATTTATCTTTCTAGCTCATGAGGGCAACCCTTTAATTCACTTCGTATTAAATCCTGTCGCTGACAAGAGGGCCAATATCTCAACATGAGTGGGGAATATCTAAACATGAGCCCAACTGGAAGGGGTCAGAAGTTGCTTACCCTACACCCCCACCCTCTTTTCTGGTCCAGGGTCTGAAGCCCCGGAAACTATGACAACTTAGGACTTCTAAAGAAATTAAATATTAAATTGCCATGTTCAATGAGTGAAGAAGCAGGCTATCCACAGTACAGTAGTAAAAACATGGAGGTTAACCATTTCAAATAATTTCAGAAAATAAAATTTCAGATGTTTACTATAAGATGTCAAAGGACTATCTCCTCTCTGAAGACTATACCCTGATCAAAATGCCACGCTTCTGGTAACTGGGTGCGAATATATTGTTACCTGTTCTGGCTGATATCAGTTTGAACAATAAAAGCTCAAGTACAAACAATATTCTGTATTGGTGTCAAAGGTGACGTAAGTGTATTGAAATCACAAGGTGAGTAAACCTGGTTTGAAAATGGTGAAATTTAGATGTTTATGATTATAAATCAGTGATAAGGAAAAGAATACTGAATGATATAAAACGAAATATACAATCGGGAAACAATAATTCATTATTTTATAAACCTACTCTATTGTCTCAAGACCTATTTTAGTATTTGTTCCTTTGTAATGCATGAAGCTTTTGCACTGTATAGAAAGTTTAACTTTAATAAAATATTTTTTTCTTATTCTGACACGTCTAATAACCATTTCTTCCTAGACCTAAATGGTCTTTTTTTTTTTATTAGTTGATCACAGTAGGCCTTGATCTAACCTTTTTTAGGTAACTAGCCCACTTAGCTAATTTACTAGATATTTTACTTGCCAACAGACTAATTTACTAAGACTACTAGTCCATTATGTTTTCTTAGTCTTGCATATTTTTTAATTTTTCACCAGACTACTGGGAAACATGAGGAAGTTAATATGCTAGTCCGGTGCGGGTTTTGCTAGGCATCTTATGCTGGGCTAGTACTAAATCGAGCCCTGCTTTCAGGCTGTAAAATGGGAAACTCTAGATGTGAGGATGGCTTTAAAAAAAAAAAAAAAAAAAAAAAAATTATGACTTGTTTATTTTTGTTGCTATGTGAATGCATCTCACGGTTAATTCCAAAGTTCTAAAAGAAAAAGTAATAAAAAGAACATAAAACTGGTAGTAAAGTAAAATACATGGAAGCTAATAAAACCATACCAATGCAATCTTGTAAACTCACTCAGTTTAAATTAAACCGAGTCCTTTGTACAGATATCAAAATTATTACCCACATTATAACAAGGTCTTCTTTTAAAATAGTTTCCTGTGTTGCATTGTTACTAACAATTTTACTTTATTTGGCAATATAAGACCACTTGAAATAATTGCTTTCCTACAGTATTAAAAACCTGTTATACATTTTGAGTAAGTCTATGTTTGAAAGGCATAAGATCTGATCAGAGTTTGTACACTTAAAGATTATTGAAATTCTACAAATTTTTGAATAAAGTGATATCTGTCTCTTATACACATCTTAACAATGTCTACAAACTACACACTCTCCCTATAGAACAATACAACGTAATACTTCACCAATAAACAGGAACAATGAGATCATACTTATAAGGTTCCCAAAAGTACACAGGCAAAATTTACTCTACTGCTGTTCGTGCGGCCACAAAGCCTTAAAAGGACTTTGCAATAGGCTCTGGGAAACCTGTACACTGAAAGAAATAAAAATTTATGAGATGAAATAAATAATAAATTACATTAAATTAATTACATTTTACAATAAAGTCTATGAGGTCATACATGGTTTAGAATTTCCATCCAATTTTCCAATAGCAAATATTTGCTGTGGGATATTTTTCTTCAGCAATAATCAACAGCATTTATTTATTTATTATTTGAGACCAAACAGTGTGTCAATCACCAAAAACAGGGTCGCAATAAAAATACAATATGATATAAAAAAATATATGCCTAAAGTTGCTAGGCCTAAGCCTGGGTTATGCAACCCGACAGCGAAAAGCTTGCTGTCGATCCTGGGATTTACCACAGCAGTGGAAGGCCCTTTCTACAGCAGTTGCTGTGGGTGCTGTTGGGAAATTTGAATCCTGTCATATGAGAATAAACAAACACGGAGACAAGCAGACATTTTACATGTTTTGTTTTGTTTTTGTATGTTTTGTTGTTCAATGACACATGCCTTAAAAAATATACAATTTTCTTTTCCTCATGACCCTGAAAATTATCTTCATTAAAAATTCCTCCAGCAGCAAATATTACCTACACCACATAGGGCCGGATTCCAGTCAACTTTCTCCCTAGCGAACTCGCGATGGAATTACATTTTTATGATGTTTTTTATTTTCAACAACAGAAACAATATAAAATATGTTATCAACATCAATGTTTCAACATGGCAATGACTTAGTTGGTTCTGCAGAACTACCATACAGTAGTACCGTACTGTAAGTCATTTGTTAGGGGCTGAGTTTGTTTGGGGGGAGGGGGCTGGCTTATACACATCTAGATGTGTATGTATGGGAAAGTTTGTAGGGCGGGGGGGGGGTGAGATTGCAAGCAAGGGGCGTCTTTGCTAGGGAGAGAATTGACTGGTTCCCCATAGGCCGAACATTAGTTGTAAGTTTTATTTCCCATCTCCGTAAACCAATGTTACAATACCAATTACAAAAAAAAGCCTCTGGGGTAATGTGAAATGCTTCACACTGCTGCAGTAGCATAGTTTTTGCAGCCCTGCCATTGATTCTAAAATCGATTAAATAAGGCTTCTAATCAGTCAATTATAGAGGCTCGAGGACTCCCCCCCCCCTTTTTTTTTAGCAAACCCCTGCCCTGCCCAATGCTCAAACCGAGAGGGCCAACTGTAAAACCAAGATCCAACAAATGATTCTAAATTTCTCTACTTTAATTAATTTATTACCACTTACTATATAGGCTAGGCCAGGCCAGGCCTCCTATAGACTAAGGTGAATGTTACTTTTACAATGAAAAGGTCTGAGCTACGGTCTGTAGTGCTGTCTGGTCTGCTGGGAAAATGCTGGCTTCAAGTCTGAATTGGTTCCCTTGGGCATATCCAACCCTCTTTTCTAAGCTAACTAGGGCCTACCGCTCTCGGCGCAAAAAAAGGAAGCCTCTCACTCACATAGTCACACTCTCTCCTCAGGCTCAGCAACACACTGCAGAGTCAAAACAGGTCCGTAAAAAATTAACAGTACAAAAGAATGTTTCTCAAAACGAGTTACAGTAGCAGCACAAGATGAACATCGTCTGCAAATTATTAATATATTTTGCTTACCTGTTTTTATATACCTTATATTTCCAACAAATATCTAAACGAAGACTAGGCCTAGGGTCTATCTAAAAAAATCCTCGCTCAACAATCCATGGTACTTGCCAAATGTCAATCAATCATGAAAGACACGGCTCTTCCCCTCATTTTGTAATATTATAGAGGGCGCACATAATCCAACAGGTGGTTGTCAGGTTCGTAAAGTTGGATGCACAACATTTTTAATCTATGTTTTTCTACAATATCCAATACCCGTTAAAATAATTATTAAAATCAGAAAAACACCGGCAATATATAAAAGGCAATTCGAAGTTCATACTTAGTATTAAAATGGAAATTCTCAGAAGGCTTGTCATCAACAGTAAAAAAAAAAAAAAAAAAAGAAATAGCCAATACAATGAAAGAAAAACTTAACAATAAATAAAATCAGAAGACTGAGGGGTGGAGGATAAATCATCGAACTAGAAACATAGAAAAGGGATTATGTCAAAAATGATGCAAAAACACCAGTCATGCCGCTGGGCAAGAAAACGATGAGTAGGTTGTTAGCCAAAATACAAACACAACATTGAAAAAGGAAAACTCAACAATAAATCAATTCAGGAAAGTGAGGGGT